TCAGGTACGCGCTTTAATCGGGCGCGCTTTAGTGGACCGCGGTTTTGTCGTGCCACGGTGCACCATAGGCTCTCCATCACAGTCCTACAATATATATTCCCTGCAAAAATCAGCCTTACCTTATACTGATGGCCGGAGCAATATTTGTCATGCAGGAAGTCATAATTTCTGTGCTTAGACTTTCGGCGAAACTGATTCCATCTTGACTGATCCCGCTATCCGCTGTCAAACTGGTGTTGCTGAGCTGCCGCCTCGCTCGGTCCAACGTGACAGGCGCAAGGTTTTCAGCAAACAGGACCTTCTCCTCCATATCGACGTGAATTTTGGGAATGTCCAAATGAAGCACGTAAGATTTCGGCAAGGTGATGCTTACACTCCCATCCGAAGACTGCCTAACGTTAGAAGGAAGATCTCGTCCAGCTAGCGGCAGAGACGAACCGCCAATGCAGGTTCGGTGTTCTTTCAAACTGCAGTGTTTGCAGGCAGCTATAGAAAACGGGATCGTTTTTTCTTCATAGGTTAACCTCTCTCCATTTGTCCAGCCTTCCGGAGCTTGCCGAGTAGCTGATCCTAAGCTCACTTCTAAAGTATCATCTACGATCTTCTTCGCGTATTGGTCTACGGCTCGTAAAATGTTCCCTTGGTAGGTGGAGTCCCTCAAACTCTCCATGCTGTGATACAGCTTCTGCTTACAACGGGAAGAAGACAGTCTTTGACTCCACGTCGTTTTGAAATCGGTGACTTTGTCGTCTCTCGGCGGTTGGTACAAGCAAGAATCCGTGAAAGATTTGGGTAAACTCGCCGCGGACATGAACATCCTTCTGGCATCAGAGGTGATCGTACAAGCAAGAGATTCTGAGAAGTCAAGCAACTTGGAGCGTTCGGGCCCATGTAAGGGACACCTACTCCTCCAAGGCTTTGTGAGATGAAGCATCACACCATTTTTCTGACTCTTTTGATCGAAGTCCTGGTTTGCGGCCTCGAACAACTCAAGCTTGCTGTTTAGCTTGGAGCTCTTTTCTGGAAAAATCTTTCTACTGGGCTTCGCCCGGAGTTTCCTGGCGGCTTGCTGCATCCCAGACCTCACCGTTTTGTAAGCAAGCCTGCTGGCAAAATTATCCATGATGAGGTCCCCGTGGCCGCCTTCCTGTTTCAAAACCCGGATGATGTGGTCGGTGTATTCATCCGTCACGCTTTCGCAGCTGGGATATTTGGAGGTGAGCCCCGAAGTTTCCGAATTCAGGGGCACGGGAAGAGCGCACGGGTCTGGTTCTCTAGAACATGGCTTCGGTCTTTGGTCTTTGGACCAACATTCGTGATAGTTTCTTTTCAGGTGGAAGCAACTGCCCTCGTAATTAACGTGACGGAGACTCAGAAGTTTACAATGTCTTGAGTTGAGCCTTTTCTTGGCTTCTCGGATGACCCTCCCAGCCATTTCGCCAGCGTAAATCCACAAAGTGGGTGGGTGTTTTTCCGGAACGTTAACAAATGTGGAATGCCCGCCTCTTTGGTCTTCCGTGCTTACTTGAAAGTATCTCTTCTTCTCCATCTGAGTAGCTTTATCTTCTAAACGTGAAGCGGCCTGCTCAGTTGCCATAGAGATGATACGAGTAGCTAGATGATCGGCATAATCTACTGTTGGTCCTAAAGGTTGAATTTGCTCTAACGATGTTTCCGGATGTTCTTCAACTTCCTTGTTTTCCACTTCTTCGGAGAGAGACCGCATTAATTTCAACATAAACTCTTCTTTTTCTAACTTTTCACATTCCGGAGTGTATATTCCATCTGTTTCCGGCACGTAAGGAGTAGAAGGAGGAGTAGCAGGCGCAAACTCCTTGGCTAATTCCCCTTTCAGTTTTTTGGTTAATTTCCTTAAATTCCACTCCGAACTTGCCTGAGAAGGCATTAACGGTGTGGAGGGAGGTGTTTCTGGTACCACGAGAAGATTTGTGTCTCTGACACTCAATTTATCTTCCAGCTGAAGTGCATCTTCACACGTGGGCACCACAGAAGAGTTACTTATTTCCGGAAAAGGCATTTCGTGACCAAACGCAGAACCTCCTGGGGCTTTAGACGTGCTCTGCTTTTCAGGTAAATTACTGATAGGTATCGCTGAACTGTCTTCCGCATCTGGAACCTGCTCATTAGATTTGACAAATGTCATCGTAGGAGAGATTATACTTGCAGATGGCTTGCAGGCCACACAGTTCTTTCTTTCCTGAACACCCTCTTTAGATCCCAACAGCAAACATCGATTCGAAGCCGCGGTAGAGATGTGAAATTTCGATATGTTGTTTAAAGGCATCTGCTGTTGACCCACGATAACTGGGATATTCTTCGTTTTCTCACCTTGTTTGGCCGCACCCTGAGATTCCGTCTTACCGCTTCTCCGGTGGGTTCCCAACCCAACACAGTAGGCTAATTTTTCACTGGTAGCCGAGCACGCCGATTTCGTCTCGTCGACGGACTGCTTTACGATCCGTTTGGCCAGATAATTTGCAAACATATTCTTGCAGGAGTCTTTCCCGATGCACTGCAAACAGGGGGCATCATTCATTTGCAGCACGCCTGTGTATGTCTCTGCCGATTTAGAAACCCGGGAAGAAGTGACGGCTTCGTAGACTTCCGATACGATCATATCGACCATCGTGCCAGAAAAGTTATTGGTGCTCGATATTTCTGCAAATTTGCCGGACTCAGGGTGGTCAGGAGAATCGTGTTCATTGCCTGCTGTGAAATCAGTGGTCAGGTAGATATTTCTAAGTGAGGACACTTCACTTCGATTGTTTTTGGTGGCGCAACACATTTCCGGGGACCCTCTGACGTAGGAGAGCTTGGTCTCGGATGGCAGTGGATTCTTGACGTTGTCTTCCTTCCATAAAATCTGGTGCTGAGAAAGGATGCTTCCAGCCAAGGGCACCGGAATCGAACTTGCAATGCCCGTTGTGTAGAACAAGGCTCGATTAATGGTGTGTTCCTTTCTGAATTCCCAAACAGGGTTTAAGGCTACCGGCACTTTCTCACCAAGCTCATAAGACCCATTGGATGTGTGGGTTAACTCCAGAACCTTCTCCTTGCTTACACATTTTACGTTGTCCGTGGAAACGCTTATGGCTGCTTGCGACGTGAAGCTCACATCGACCTGTGATAACTCAATGAACGCATCCTGGATGACGGATTCAGACAAGTCCTGGGCATAAGACCACACGACTCGATCGTTATAACGGAAGGAGTCCTGATGAGATGCCGTGGGCGTCGGCGGATGCGAAAACTGACAGACTTCCATTATCCCCTCAAATATCAGCTCCTCGGCAAGGTTCGCTGCAAATTTGGTAACGGTGTTGGTAAACATTTGTTGCTTCACAGAGTACAGTTCTTTCAATGCTCCAGTGACGGCTTCGCTCACCAAGAACCCTGCCAAACCATTAATAGCTTTCTTCTTCAGCAGAAGAGCTTGCTGCCTTCCAATCTCGTAGAAGGCCATCTGGAAGACCGAAGAAGTCAATTTAGCAGCCAACTGACACAACGCATTGGTACACGAAGAAACACTCTTCTGGAGATCTTTAAACGCGCTTCCAAAACTCGTTTCCACCAGCTCCGAAGCAAATCTCTGGATGTGATCTTTAATCACTCCCGACTTGTGTTTGGATCTATCTTTCTTATGAAGTCCTTTTCTAGATATGTCTCTTTGGATTTTTGCCGTCCGGTCTTTCTGTTCTTCTGGGACAACCCTACCCTGGCCGATCATCTCCTGTGTGCATCTACACAACGAGGGCGGCCTAGCATTACACACAGAGCCCAGAATTTCAAAGGAAATATTATTTGCAAAATCCGAGTAGGTGTGATAGACGATGTTGTGGTTCTGGCTGAAGGCATCTCGGTTCACTTGGCAGAGGCATTCGGCGGAAAAGCAACTGCCCGGAGGACTGAAAGCAGAAGATCTGATTGGGCTGAACAAGGCCGCGTGATCGTCCGCTGGGTTTTTGATCAGGCGGGGAGAATCTGGGACGTCCAACAGATTGTTGTACGGAGACTCCGGTTTGCGAGGAGTCGGCTTCCTTACGTTGGCTGGAAGAACCGGGCGATCACATTTGAATTTTTGAGGGTTCATGGATGCTGAGGTGGAGCAGGACTTCTGACACGAAACGATGCTTTTCTGCGACGTATGACTTACGGTGGCGGGATCTCTAGAACCTGTAGAACTATTTTCCAAAGTTTGTTCGCGTTCGTCAAATTGGTCAAAACTATCAAAAAACTCGCTGACTTCAGAGTCGGAATCCTCAACGCCATCTTTCCCTACTGGGATTTTCGGCAGCTGAAGCTTGGCCTTCAAACTTTTCTGATAGCCTTCTTCATCCAAGAAGATGACAGGGCTTGGGCTAGAACAGTCCGACTCGGACGAATCGGCCGGGGAGGAAGAAAATAAGGTTTTGTGCAAAAAATTAACGCCGCGATCCGAAGAACTGTGGGGCCTGAAAAAGTTTCTCTGCATCCAAGGTTCAGAAATGGAAGTGGAGACCGGATTTCTTGCGGAAGATGACAATTCTTCAAGTTCTAAGATGTTCACCAAGGAGATGGAGGACTTGACCGATGGCCTCCGATACAGAGAACTGACGAAGGACTTTTGATCATTAGATTTGAGAGGATGAGCAAAGGTGGACTTTGGAGATGACTCTGGACTCTTCTCGGTTTCTGTTCAAAAGGAGGGTGGGGAGGGGGGAGAAAAAAAAGAAAGAGAAGACATTTTTGTAAACTATCTTGGAGAAGGTCTGTCAATGTGTCTACTAAGACTTGACACCAGCTTAATGAATCAATATCAGTCAATTAGCAGAAATAGGACACAATCAGGGATGGGATTCAGCCAGTTTGGATCGGTTCGGGCGAATCAGATGCTCATTTTACATCTGGTTTGCCGAACCGGTAGTTGCAACGATTGGCTGGCTCCGCCCACTCCACCCTGCCCCTCCCAGAAGTCTCCACGCAATCCATTTTGGATGCCCTCACGGAGACTCTGGGAGGGCGAGAAAGGGACCTCCCGGAAGTTCCGGAAGTCTGGAAACAGGCTCATTTCCGGCCTCCAGAGGGCTTCCGGAGCACAGAGGAGGCCATTTTCACCATCCCGGAGGCTCGAGGAAACTCTCCGAAACCTTGAAAACACCCCCTGCCGTGGTGTAGGAGGCCAAGTAGACCACGCCCACCATGGCCACGCCCACCCAGCAACCAGGCAGAGA